CCCTAGTCCTTTACGGCCCGACACTGATCACCTGTAAAAAGTAATATTAAAACTGAGAATCAAATGACATAAAAGCACTGCATGAAGGTTTTTGGAAGCACACTTGAAACATCAAAGCTAGGTTTCGGCCCTCTGTGTTAAATCGAAAATTCACTTTGGCCCTCCGATTGATGTTTATGCCCACCCCTACTCAAATAAGAGTCTATTATACTGCAAGGATGGAAGTGTGGGTTAATAAGGGTGGGTGGAGAGCCATGAAATTAACTTCAGACTGGATGGAAAAAGTACTAATACTATATAGTAATACTATATACCGTAATCTTTTATTATTTTTAGTAGTCAATATTACAACAGTTTAACAATGAGATTCTATACAGGATTTAAAATGTATAAATGCCCAATATTCAGTAAAGTAGATTTCCCTACAATTAAAAATCGTAATACAGGTAGTACTGGGTTTAGGAGTTCGTGCTTCAACGAACAGGTTATTCCATCCGTAGAAGCCTTTTGATGAAGAAAGTGTACCTTTTTTAAGGAAGGCTTGCCTAAGTTAAAACTCACTTGGGCTATATGAAATTAATTATAAGCTTGAATTGTTAATCTTATTGTAAGGAATACTACAGTAACTTCACATTTAATTTTAATTACAAGTTGAATTATATAAAATTCAAATTAAATGTCGTAAGTATATAGTTTGCCTATTTGCCTAATTTGGTTAGAAAAAACTTTTTTATTATAGGAATGTTAAAATTGCCTTATTTTGCCTGGTAGTGCTTAATAAGACGAGTTTAACATTCCTGTAATAAAAAAGTTTTTAGATTTGTCTAAAGCAAATTAGGCAAATAGACAAACTATATACTTACGACATTTAATTTTAATTTTGTACAATTCAACTTAAAATTAAACGTGAAGTTACTGTAGTATTCCTTACATTAAGATTAACAATTCAAGCTTATAATTAATTTCATATAGTCCGAGTGAGTTTTAACATATAGCCCGAGTGAGTTTTAACCTACGCAACTCTTCCTAAAAAGGAACACTTTCTTTATCAAAAGGCTTCTACGAATGGAATAAACCCAGTTCCATTACAATTTTTATTTGTACTGGAAATCTACTCGTACTGAATATTGGACATTCATAAACTTTCAATCCTGTATAGAATCTCATTGTTAAGCTGTTGTAATATTGACTACTAAAAATAATAAAAGATTATATAGTATTGTATGATAGGCCTACATTTTGCAAATTCAGGGGTGTAGTTATGGAGGAGGGAGAGGAGGTGGAGTCACCCAGCCTTGAAGTTTTCCATCCAGTCTAAACCTAATTTCATGGCTCTCCACCCACCCTTATTAACCCTACACTTCTATCCTTAAAATCCACTCATATTATTTAGAGTAGGGGTGGGCATAAAAATCAATTGGAGGGCCAAAGTAAATTTTCGATTTAACACAGATGGACGAAAATTACCTTTGATGTTTCAAGTGTGCTTCCAAAAACCTTCATGCAGTGCTCAGTTTAATACTACTTTTTACAGGTGATCAGTGTCGGGCCGTAAACGACTAGAGGTTTTCTATCACTTTGCCCACCACAATGCCGAACATTTCACAGTTACTTTCATCACGTTAACTTACTAGATTCTAGGTCAATTTTGGGGCGGGGAATAAGGGGTGTCTGGCAGACACCCCCCACCATCAGAA